TTTTTTTTTTTTTTTTTTTTTTTAAATTTAAATACATATATGGTACAGTATTAAATATTTTGCGTAATCTAATTCACTATTCAAGTGGAACATATTTTCCAAACTTAATGTACCTAAAAATGCTCATATCAAACAATATAACTTTACTGTATTTAAGTGAAATATTTTAACAATTTTCTTCTATACAAAATACATGTATATTCTTTTGATTAAAATTACATGTTACTCACTTCAATGCATCATTATTGTAACATTTTAATTTTTTTTCTTTTTGCATATCACGTATTTTACGAACGCCGAAATACACTCACACGAATAAACTATAATAAAAATTATTTTATAACAAAAGCATATAAACTATTTCATAAATAAATTGAACATAGTTTACATGTAAAATAAATTCATTTTTCTAATTTTCGTAATGTACTTCTCGTTACTCCATATGAACAGTATGGTAGATGATAGTACATTTAATTATTTCTGCACACACCGGATAATATATTGCTAATTGATAATTTAATTTCATTAATCCTTTTTGAGTGATACATTGCTAGTCATTTTGTTTAATAGAACTTATTCAATTTGAATTTCAGATTTCCTAGTATCAAAAAGAAAACAAATTACTTTTTAATTCTTTGTTGTATATTTCGCATTAATTGATAATAATTGCTTGATAACGTATAAATTATTACTTGTTCTTTACTTCAGTATATTAAAAAATACAGTCATCATAGTGTAGTAGTTAATATACATTATTTAAAATAGTCATATATTAAGAAGTAACTTAAGAAATTTTCTGATACATTTATCTTATTTCGTTGAGCCTGCGTCCCGCACTTGGCTCAAAATGGTTTTTCAGTTGTATAAGTATTCATTCGTTATGAATTATTGTACATATATAATACCGTTGCAACAGATGAATTAACGGAATATTATTGATAAACTCTCCAAATACGAAAAAACGGATATTTTATCCACCATCCAATAGTTCTTCAATGCAATTCAAGTGTTGTCAGTAAAAGATTCAAAAATACCTATCTTGTAGTCACATCAAGTAACACTGAAGTTGGAGCGTTTTTATTAAGATAATCGCTCATATCTTGGAAACGACTAGACCTAGAAGAACCTTGGATCTGGTTAATTCCACTTGTAGAATCATTGTCAACTTCTGGTCCGCGATATCCATCGTCTTGTTTTTCATGTAGTATATATTTGAAAAATTCATATCTAAACAATTTATAAAAAAATTTTTTATATTTGATATTCTATGATACTTTACAACTTATTTTATTTAAATAGATTATCTATCTTATATTTTATTAATATTAAAGATAAGAAAAAATTTCTCTAATCTTAAAGATTATTTCAAAGTCATTGATATTTGTTTTTTATACTAAAATTTATACTATTTTAACATATTAACATTTGTTTTTCGTATGATTTTTAAAGAAGAAAAATGAATTTATATTGGAATAGCTATAGTAAATTAGGTAAAAAAATTAGATAAAATTTTAATTTTAAATAAAAGTAAATTTTATGTTTTAAAAGAAGTTGTTGAAACTTTCAAGAAATTGTTTTAACTCGTTAGAAACTAATTCTTATCTCTATATACTCACGTTGACCAACAAATTGTAGTTGCTGGCATTTGATAAAGAACACGAGCATTTAAACCACGAAAATAACCACGTAAACCTCCGTATCTATAAACTGTTTTAATAGCATCTATCATGCCTTGAACCTGGACACCACTTTGTGTATTTAGAAGTGTTTTACAAACGTCTAAAGGTGTTGTAACTGCAGCAGCAACAGCTCCTGCTAATGCACCTGTAATTTATATAATCTTGTTGTGTGATTCTATTAAATTTTGAAATATATTTTTTTCTAAATGTATATTTACCTGACATCATATGTGCTATTGGATTATACATGTGGTCAGGATTCGTAAATACTTGTGCAATTTCATAAGTAATAAAGTGAATCATTTGAAAAGGCACATTCATAGTTAACTGTGTCGTATAACTCCTATAGAATGCATATGCACCTTCTTTTTGGTATATATTCGTTATACATGTCATAACATTTCGATAAGGAGAGTTATACATTTGTAATCGCTGTTTAACCACTGGAATAAGATAATTTTATTCTTCATTGGATAAAATTCTAAAAATTACGAACCATATTTAGCTTGTATCTTCCTCAAAAAAAGAAACATATTTTGCATGCTTTAACACAATGTGCACCAGCTAAATTACGTAATAAATAGACAATTTAATCATTTAGTTATTTATTAATAAAGTTGAGATGTTTTACCTTCTGCTGGATTCATTATACCATCATGAAGAAGTGTTGCCACACAACCAGCAGTTCCATATGCAGCTAAATTTAATTCAGGATGTGTTCTTGAACTTAAGAGCTTATTTTTAACAAATTCATAGCATGAAAAGTATAATGCATGCGCAGGACCAGCTCCTACAACCATTGCACTCATACCACGAATTGGTCTCAAAAAACCTTCTTGTTGTACCATTCTACTCAGAACTGTCCCTACTCCACCTCCCCCTCCTCCTGAACCTGGTGTCAATGCTTGCATTCTTGTCTGGATATAAATAAAATAAATTCATGTAAATAAATTTATTTGTTTAACAGTATAAGAAAATGTTACTTCTCATAACTAATTTGAAATATTGATTTTATATTAATATAGATAAGAATATTATTTAGACAACAATAGAATACACAAAATTTAACCTTTTTTAATTTTTTAATAGCTTAGAATGATTATTTGATAATGAAAATGGATATAAAAGTATTAACACTTTAAATTTTTTAAATCATGACTTGCAATTATTTGAAGGTATAATCATTTTTGACTGAGGTATAATCATTTCTAATTATTATTTGTCATTAAAAATAAATGATAAGACAATGATGCATTTGATAATATTTTGCAAATGATATCTAAAATTGCTCATTAAATTTTAAGATATATTGTTTATATGAAATAAATATACATGCTGTTTCATATTAATATTTCATTACAAGTGCATTTTCTAATAATCACATGTGAAAGTATTTGCTAATATAGATTGTAGGTTGAAAAGAAAACCAAAAATAGAACCTACTGCAACAGAGTTGAGAATTGTGTTATATAATGAATGTTTGAAACTCATGTTCTATTTAATCATTTTATGTATTAAAGTTGTCAAACAATTAACTATTTGCAATGCCAAAAAGATAGAAATACAATGTTTTAGATATTGTTTATGTACATTTGATCATTTAGTATTTAATAAACTGTATTTATATATATGTACAGTTTAATGTGATATAACACGTAAACCAAATTATATTGAAATTATGTATTTTATAATAAACAAACAAAGATATCTTTTTAAATGAATATTCAAAATCAAGTTGATAAATATAACAAAAATATAAATTTAATTACAAATTATATTAAAAAGGAGGGATCATAAAAAAACAATGTTTATACACTTATGAGTGCATTAAAAATTAAATAGAGAGCAGAGAATTTATTTCTGATTACAAAAAAATCTATTTTATTCATCATTACTAGTTAACACACATAATTTCATTGTTATTTAATTATATAAATAGCTAAATATACAGCAGCAACAATGTTTAGTGACATAATAACAACGTATATACTCGCTCTCTTAACAAATACTGAAAGATAATAAACAATTATTACAGAACATTGTTGCTAAATCATTTGATGACTAATTCAGTCGTTTGTAAATTCTAAGAAGAATTGGTACCTGGAAATAATTATGAAATTGTATTGCTTAAACTAATTGCGCAATAATTTTGCAACAGTAAAATGCGAAATTACATGGCCAAATGCTAACATCTCAGAAAGATTAATTGCATTTATCTTGAAAGTTTAAATACTTCACTATTTACTCAAGATTACAACGACGTTCACATGCGTGAAACCTGATTTCTAGGTTTCGATGAGGAAAATGATAAAATTCAGAGAACTGTCTTTGAATATCATACTTGTTTTTATCCAAAGACCGTGTGACTTGCAATGTCATGATATTAAATGTCATTGAATTTTATTACAATGCGGCGGAAATGAAATTCCGTGAAGTGATAGTTGAGGTTATATAAAGTATCTTGGGGGGGAAAAAATGTGCGAGAGAAATAAAGTTGTTACCTTAACACTGTCAAGCGGGTACATCACACAATGTTCCATAATTCCTGCGAATGCACCTGCTGTCATGTGTACAGCTACAGAGGATGTAGGCAACGTCTCATAATCGTCCGCATTCATATTTTCTGAAGATGTTTTAACAATTTCCAGTTAACGGCTGGACATGAAATACCGCAATTTCTGTACGCACTCTCTCGAAGCAGACAACACTATTGCTTTCGGCAGTAACTAACGCCGAATTACTGTTTGTGCAGTGGCATTCGCTTTGTAATCGCCGAAACATACATTCAGAAGGATATGAGAGTAATGTTCGTTCTTTCGAAATGACGAAACGTAATCGTATTCGTTGATCGTGTCTTAATGGAACCGTATTGGAATTGAAAAGGCTACTACTACCGATAAGCAGATTTGCAATGTACAGTCTTCCTTCAAGTATTCGCGCCACAAACAAATTATTCTACTTGCTTATACTACTTTCATGAAATACAAGGGCACATGACGGCTGATTGTTTATTCGAATCGTTACGGAACTCGATACATACTGGCATTCTTCGCGATACGGTTACGGCTCATCATACGGTTCGTTTAGTGAGGTTAGGTGTTCGCGCACGTGTCACGCATGCGTCGTATTCAACCACGTGGTTGGTTCGTGTAGTATGCTACGCAGTAGCAGCTTAATAAGTAGTCTGATTGCTGTATAAAACATGTTATCCATTGAGGATGTAATAATGCATTCGTTTCATAGATGAAGACGGGTCGTTGAATTTAAAACTGGAGAATGAATCTTCCAATGCAATTGTCCGAAGTTCTTTTCTTCTTTTAAATATCTTGATAAAGCTTATCTTCGATTTTTAGCATTCTACTTTAGCTAATGCTCTTGACTTTTCCTTCACGTTTTCTATCGTTTTTAAAATATGATTATCATGTTAATCTATATATCTAGATATCTATTTCAAAAAAAAATATTCATTCCTCGATAACGTTAATTTTGAAAGTGTTATCACGCAGTACTTTTTCGTTTGCCTATGTATTGCTATTTGCCTAAAATAAAAGTTACGTTTTACTTTTACACAATTATGTTTTATATCAATTACATTTGTGTCCTATTGAAACATTTTTAATGTTAATATTACAAAGTCCAATCCATAAGTTTGTCAGAAAGTAAACGTAAATAATCAATGTTAAAAAAAATTTAGTATTTGCTTTGAATTTCGTACTTTACAACATTCTATAGACGATTCTATACATTCTAGACAATGCACATGTTGTAAAAACATGTATAAGATCGTATTACGTACCGTATGACAAACTATTCACATATTGTTCTATTTATAGAAAATATCATGATTACGAATCGTGTGCAATACTTTACAAGTTGTAATGTTTTAAGATGATTCATTCAGGCCAGTTAGCTTAATAATTATGCATAAAAATTAACTTATGATATAACGTTTTGAATAATACATAGGGGTCTTTGCTCCTATTGCATATAGATTTGCGTGGAATTCGACTAAATGGCACGGTCAATTGATGTAGTAGTAGTTTCTGTTGATTGATTTGAAAAGCACAGTTGAAACTTTTCCAACATATAATTTAATTAATTGCTTAACAACTAATTTTGTATGTGTACGATATTTCCTTTGTAAGTATCTCGTGATATAATTGACATATGCACATAATTGTATTCAATTTTATTTTGTTTCTATCATCTGCATATAAAGTGATATCACTTTTATGTACTTAATTAAGAAAATTACTTAAGGAGATTCTAATTGAAACATATAAAAAATATAGCACTATGTATTGTTATAAATATTTAAAATTAAAGGTAGGATTTAAATATTTCTGGGCTGTTTAACATGTATACAAAAGTCGCTTTATTTTAAAGCAATTATAATAATAATGGGTTTTATAAATTGTTAGTTTTACTATATTACATATGGCAATAAATATTTTAAAAAGTTGAAAAAAATATTCTACAATATACAGTAATAAAGTGTAATATACTTCTATTTTATATACATATTTATACAAACTTATACATATACAGAATAAAGAACACGCAAGAATGTTACATTAATAAATATAACATTCTTTGTAAAAATTTAATATTACAATTTTTTAAGTGTTAAGCTTAAATGAGATAATGTGCAATTAATCATTCCTCTGTATTACAATTTTCTTATTATTATCTTTTGTTTTCTATTTTAAAAAAAGAAGAAAAAAATTATAGAAACTATTGCTTATTTTCTTTTAATGTTATAATGAAATTAATTTTATTTTCTACTTTTTTTCGCTAAATTTAGGTGCATGAAATTAATCAATAGAATAGTCAAGAAGCAAAGAATATTTCAATAGAATCATTATTGTATAAGATAGTTGTTTAAAAGTAGTAATAATTCTTTCATTTTAATCTTATCAGACTTGGAGTATTCCTATACACATTCTTTATCAATATGTAAACTTTGAGGAATAATAGTTCAAAAGAAAATTACTCTTGTATAAAATTTCTTGTAAGCACATACAAAACTTACATTATGAATAGTATGTGTTTATGTCAAATAATGTGTATACAATGATTATCTAATTTGTAATCTTATAAATATATCATGTACTTCTGCAATATACTGTGTACTTATATTAATGAAACACTATTGCACACTATTAATTGCAGAGTTGTGTTTCCATTATGAGAGCTTGAATTTTATACAAAAAATTTTATAAGCGATATGAAAAAATAGTAACTATTGGTTTTCTCTTTTTTTATAAACAAGAATTGCAAAGTACAACTTAAACATATATTATTCACAAAAATTTATATATATTCCTCCTTAAAAAAGTAAAATTTTACAGTAAATTGTAATGAAATTTAATAGCTACATATATAATTCAACTCAATCCATGTACATATTTCACACTGTTTACATTTTTTCAAATTTTGAAATTTTTATTATTTAATAAGTACTATAAATTTTGAAATTTTTATTATTTAATAATTGCTATAAATTTTTTATTTTTGTTTAAAAACATTCTTAAATTTTTCCAATTAATGTGTTACATTTAGTAGTTTTATATAAGTAATTCTTACTCAAATTTCTTAAATTTTATATAATGTATTAATTTTTTCTAATTCAATATAATTTACATTTTAAAAAAAGAATGTCAACTTATAGAAAACATTCAAATTTTTCTAATATAATATATATTTAAAAAAATTTTAGACATATTGATTTAAATGTTTTATATAAAATAAATTTTTTGGATAAGTTTTAAAGACATTATAAGTGCAATAATTTACAGATTTTTTCTTGATCACATTAGTATTTTACATTAATTAAAGTTTCAAAATATTTGATTTAAATGTAATGTCGAGTGTACTAGAACCAACAACTAGGATTTTTGTTTTATATTATATAAAGTAAAACATTTCAATACCTGAAATTACAAACTACTAGCTATACCTGATTAGATCTCCTACTTCTGCGAGAAGAACTTGAAAATAATGGACGTGGTTTGTATAGGTCATCACTTGAATAACGTTGACTGCTTCTATGCCGGCTGCAATTACATAACAAACTAATTATAGTATGAATACTGAAAATGCATTTGCATTTGAAATGAAACTTGCAAAAAATATGTAGGTTTAATTTTTACATTATAATTTGTTAGTATTTGACACATAGTAGTTTGTGCACAATTCTTTTTTCTTTTTATAAAGAAAATAAAGACCTTAACAGAATTTATGAATAATACTTTTAATTTTTTGTATACATTTAATTTTACAAAAGTAAAAAAATTGTCCAATAGTTTATGAAAAAGCTCTAAAAATTAAAAACAAATAATTAACAATTTTAAAAATTAAAGATTAAAAACAAATAATTATTCAACATACCCTTTGTCTTCTTTAATCATATTTGCGGATGATATTTTTTCACTGGTTGCGGATACATCGCTTTCTGGACTTAAAGGCATAACAAAATTTTCTCCATTTAAAAGTCCTTGTGGAGTACATATATTTGATTGGAGTCTCTGCTTTTTAGATATTAGTTTTCTTTTTTTTATATTATTTAGTGCTTCTTCATTAGGTAAGTTTAATGAAGAAGCTTTTTTATGACCATCATTATTATTATTTGAATTATTTAATAATATATCTGTTAATGGGCTAGATGAATGTTTGCGTTTTGGTAAAGGTGGTGCCATAGCTTTTGGCACTGAAGATACAACTTGACCTCCTAAACTCTCTATTATGTCTTCTAAAGAACTATTTTCTATTAATTCAAGTGATTCTAAGAAACTAGAAAATTTTTCTGATTTTTCATTGTCTGCTTTGAAATAACGACAATCTTCATTATCTTCAGTTTCCATTGATGTTGATTCTATTGTTTCTAGTTCTTCTTTAATTTTTACAATGCAATCTTTATCAGTTATGTATCTGTTTAAATTAGAAAGACTATTTTCAGCATCCTGAGAAACATCTTCATCTTCAATTTTTGATGTTGTAGGTATTTCTATATTTCCATTATCACTTGAACAAGTCATATTATCTGTATTTATATTACTTAACTTTAATTGCTTTTTTTCCTTGTTTATTTCTTTTTTATTACTAAAATAGTTTGATTTTTGAGAATACAGGTGTACCTCTTCTAATACAGATGTGTCAGTTTCTTGGCATGTTTGCTTTTCAAAACATATTTCTGCAGAACTACCTAGTTCTTCTGTTTTTATTATATTGTTGTCTTCTTTCTCTATGCTAGAAAACAATGATTTTTTATTTTGTGAGTTTTCTTTATTATTAAGCAATAAAGAAATAGAAGAGTCGATATTCCCTTCAGTATTAGAATTCAATGGCTTCTCAACTTTGTTGGTAAGTGTTTCACTTAATGATTTCTTTATACATAATTCCATGTCTGATAATTTTAATTGTAGATTAGAATGTGTCTCTAACAAATCTTTTGCACCAACTTCAGTTTGTAACATCATTATTGATCTTTCTTCTAATGTTAAATTAGTATGTTTCTCAGGATATGGCTCTTCGTATTCTTCATCTGGTATTTCTATTATTTGAACACGTTCTTCATCTGGCATACTTTCAAAATTATCATTATTTACTGCATTTATTTGTATTGGTTGTTCTATTTTCTCAATTTTTTTCTCCAACTTCTTATTTTCTTTAAGTTTCTGTTTCTCTATCTGTTTCCTAATTTTCATTAATTTTTTAGCTTCATGTATATTTTTTGCAAATTTTGGTTTCTTTACTTTCATTTCTCCTAAAATGCTATTGTCTTCTATCAATGCTCGTTTTTTAAGTGGCAAATTAACATAATTAAATTCCAATTCTTGTTTAGTATGCATTTCATAATTATTAGTGCTGTCAGTTTTATATTCTGTATGCAATTCTGTTGCTTTGTCTAATTTACAACTTTGTTGTTCCAATAATAATTTTATATCATTTGGATGTATTTCTTCAACATTGTCTGATGTTTCACTACCTGAATTACTCATATGGTTTGTTTCTTTAGAAAAGGTTGATGTATTTGATTTACTATGTGCAATATTAGATCCAGAACTACTAGACTGTGAACTTTTGCTACTTGATCCATTTGAACCATCTCTGTCTGTAGAACGTCGATCATTAGAATTTCTTCTCAAACTAGAATGATCATCTTTTGACTTGGACTTTTTCTCGTCTCTTCGTTTTTTGTCTTTATGTTGGGAATCATTTTTATTATCTTTTTTGCTATCTAATTTTTCATTTTTTGTCGAGTTTTTACTTTGTGTGTGATTTTTGGCATCTTTTTTACCATTTATTTTTTCATTATTTGACTTGACATCTTTTCTTATTTCAGATTTATCAACCTTTTCTTCTTTTTCATTTTTTATAAATTTCTTTGCATCCTGTTTATCTAATTTTTCTGTCGAATCTGATTTCATATTGATATGGTTTTTAGATTTCATATGATCCTTAGAAGTACGTTTTTCATCTCTCTTACTCTTATCCTTATCCTTTAATTCACTTCTTTTTTCTTTTCCATCAATAACTTTTTCAGATGTTTTGACAGTTTTAATTTCATGAGAACTTGATGAAGGATTTTTGGAAGAGCTTTTATGATCTTTTTTATATTTCTTGTCTTTTGGAAAATCTTTTTTATCTTTATTTTCTTTATTTGATTTTGTCTCCTTGTCTTTATTTAATTTTTCTTTCTCTGTTAATTCTTTCTTCTCTCTAAGTTCCCTAATTTTTTCTTTGTAAAGATCTTTCAGATCTTTTCCCTCTTTACTAATATTATCTTTCTTGTCTGTTTCTTTTATTTTATCTTCCTTTGCTTTAGTATAATTATCCTTTTCTGTATCTTTAATTTTATCCATACTTTCTCTTGGTTGATCACTTTTATCTTTAGCTTTATTTTTATCATATTTGTCATATTTTGAACTGCTGTGACTTCGTTCTTTCTTTTTATCACTACTTCTATCCCTATGATGTTTTCCATCTCTTACATGATTTTTATCTTTTGATTTTGATTTGGATTCACTGTCCCTGCTCCTATCTTTATTATTTTTGTATTCATACCTATCTTTTATGCCACTGTCTGTAGCATCGCGAGAATTTTCTTTAGAAGATAAATTGTTTTTTACATTTTTAGAATCTTTAACATCTTGTACATCTTTAGTTTTATTTAATTCAAAAATATTTTTATTACTTTTATTTTTATTAGATTCATATTCTCTGACAGCTTTAAAATTGTCTTTAATATTTTTAACATCACATTTATTGACTTCATCTTTCAATGCATCATGTATCGGTGTTGATGCATGGTTAGAAAATCCAAAATCAGTTACAATCGATAATCGGGAATCGGAAGAAACTTTGCTTAATTGTGAATCTTGATTACTATAATCGAAGTTGTCCCTTGACAATTCATTACAAAAATCAGAGCTTCTAGACCTATGACTAGTTAACTCTGATATACCTGACAAATGTGAATCATTGGAATTATTAGATTCGTTTAAATTCATAATATCAATTGGTTCAAAAGTAGGACTGTCTTCTTCATCTTCCTCCGTTTTATCATCTGATTTGCCAGATGTATTTAAATTTAAAATACTACCAGTCTTATTAAAAGCTTTATCACTTTCATCCAACGCTTTCTCTTCTGAAGAAATTTGTCCATTCTCAGATATATTATCTTTATCTTTTTCATTGGATATTTCATCTTCTAACGACTTCTGTTCGTTAGCAGACTTTACATCTCTTTTTACTTCTAAATCTTCTATTGCGTCCATAGACTCCAAGGACACATCTTTTAAACTATTTTTGTCAGACTCTGGTGAAACAGGATCTAAATCCTTGGGTAACAAATCTTTAAGGCCACGTGCGCCATTTTTTTCTTTTGCCTTAGGTCTTTCTATTCCTAGAAATTTATACACTACATCCTCAATTTGATGCATGAAAACAGAATATACTTTTGGATTTACTACTTGATCTACTATGCGTTCTACACCAGCATCTAAATAAGGAGCTTCGTGTATGTGCTTCCTTAATGTTTCTCTCAATTGGTTTTTGTTTAAATCTGGTTTCCATGGTTGTTTGTTGAGAAAAGAATTTACAGAACCTTCAACTCTTGTACGTAAGTTTTGATAAGCTGGCTGTAATGAAAATGATAAAAATTATTACGAACAGCACGTATGTCTATAAATAATCATGAAGAATTATTATTGTATAATACGTGTTCGCGTTGGAAAGTTTAAATACATATTACTTTAATGTCAATTACATTAAAATTTAGAATATTGCGTTCAAAATGAATACCATAATAACTGTACAATGTTTCGATGATAAATTAATTGTTTAAATATTGCATACCTTCGTATCAACATCAGCAATGCATTCTTTGCGAAATTGATCAAAAATTCCTTGAGATTTCACTTCTCCTACGATGTGATCCACTAATCGTGGATCACCTGGTAACAACGTGTTAGGTAAACCTAACTCCATGATAAATAAAGTGTTTAAAATAATTATAATTCACTTGAACGTTAAATAATCATTCATTTTCATTGACGAAGTCGTCCCGTGAAGTAGTACGCAACCATACTCTTTGACTTCGCGTCTAGGTTAAATGTTAGAGCTGTGTAAGTAAATGAATAATAACCAGTACCAACCTTCCTTTATAGCAAGTATCATAGGATAAAATAGATGTTGAAGTTAATGAAATATTTTCTAACAAATATGGAAAACTAGAAGGTATTGATATAATACATCTTTATTTAAATTTATATTTGTATAAACAAAGCAGAGTTATTCCTATTATTCTAGTTAACGTTAATTATATTTAAAATTAAGAAAATCTTAAAAGAATTTTTTAATTCACAAAAATGCCAAGACTTCAAACTTAAGGCGTTTCTCAATAAAAAATTTATGATGACATTTATTTATATGGCACTGACATCTATAATGTATATACTTTGGGGGGACAGAGCCATTTTTTAACATGGCAAGTTGTTCGGTGTCAAATGTAACTTGTTTGTGATTCTATTTTATTTAGGATTGCTGACTAATACTATTGTTTTATTACACAAAGTTATATAGCTTTTTAGTTATGAGGAGAGTAACACTTTTTGTCAATGGCACGAACGTTACAAATGGCAAGGTGGCTGTGATTTCATTTAGTACAATAAATTCTCATTGTTTACTTTTCATTTTCCAGTTACACACGATACTTTCTCAATATTTGCTCACGTCATAATTGAATTATGTATTATCTTATTCTGAACAATTATAAATTATATGACATGGTTATAGAAGAGGGCGTTTGAAAAAATATTTTTGAACAAGTTACAAACAGAACTTTAGCATGTTAATGTAAGACAATTTGAAGTTAGTAATTTATGTTTACATAAAATTTTTAATAAAAAGTGATTACAAGATAGAGAATATCTTTACAATCTAGAGTCTATTTAATTTCTAACATGTTAAATATTTAAGATTTATTGTGTTTGATTATCAAATTTTTATATTAATCAGAAGGTTTATGTAATTAAAATAAATAAAAAAAAGATTATTGTAGAAATGAGCATATGCCTAGTAATAACTGAGTTTTTCAGTCAAAATTTATCATAACAAATATTTTAGAAAAGAAATCACATTTATGTATAATTTACTATGTATTTGTTTTAGGTATTAATGATAACTAATTCATTAGATGAATTGTTAACAGCAGCTAGTTCAAAGTTCAACATTACTGCCAAAAGAATATTTAATGTTCAAGGTGGAGAGATTGATGATATTAATCTAGTCCGGTAAAATAAATTACATCACTGATTGAAGCTACATCAACCTTTGCTACATCAATCTTGCTCTATCTTTTGTTGTATTTATAATATACATAATACAGCAGAATGAACTTCTTACAGGGATGACGATGTTTTATATGTTTCATGTGGAGAAGATTTTATTCCTAAGGACAAGTTTTGTAGTCAGTTAAATACATGTTCAGAATGGATTACGCTGAATGTTGGTGGAAAGTACTTTACGACAACAAGAGACACTTTAACGAAAAAGGAACCTATGAGTATGTTGGCTAGGTAAGCAAATATGTTTAACTGATCTGTTCGAATTAAAACTATAATTACTATATTAGAAGATGTACTGATATTGTTTTTATTGATTTTTAGTTAATACTTACTTTTGCACATACTTATAATACGAAAAAAAAAAAAACAGAATGTTTACAGACGCTACAGACACAGGACAGAGAATCTTACCTAGCAGACAAGATAAAAATGGTGCATTTTTAATTGATAGAAGTCCTACATACTTTGAACCGTTGTTGAATTATTTGAGGCATGGCCAGATTATACTTGATTCCAATGTGAATGCAGCAGGTATGGTTTTTTTTTTTATTAATTCATTAATTGTATGAGTTTTTTTTTCAATTTGTTTTATCCACATGTTTATATATTTCGTAATTCCTTTAGGTGTCTTGGCAGAAGCACGTTTCTATGGAATAGAAGGTGCCATTGATATATTGACTGCAATGGCAGATGAAGAAGAACTTCAGAGGAGTGGTTTGGTATCTTTTACTCGTAAAGATGTACTTAAAGCGATTATGTCAACACCTACAACTTCAGAACTTAGATTTCAAGGTGTTAATTTCGTCGGTGCTGACTTATCAAAGTTAGATCTCAGGAATATAAACTTTAAGGTAATTAGAATTACTTTGATATTACAATAACGTGATAATTGTAGTTATTACAAATTTTAAATAATATTTCAGTATGCAATTATGCGTGGCTGTAGTTTGGCAGGTTCAAATTTATCTGGTTGTTGCTTTGAACGTGCAGATTTGTCTTATGCAAATTTACAAGGTGCACAGTTAATTCGCGTAAGAATGCTATGCGCGAATCTAGCCGCTGCCGATCTTCATTCGTGTAATTTTGAAGATCCCTTAGGTGTACCCGCGAATATGGAAGGTGTAAATCTTAAAGGTGCCAATCTTGAGGGCAGTATTATGGCTGCTGTAAATCTTAGAGTAGCAACGTTAAAAAATGCCATCTTAAGAAATTGTATTCTTAGATCAGCTGTGTTAGCTGGTGCTGATTTAGAGGTATTATGTCACTAATGTTAACTCCTCTCATAGTATGTATTTCTAGTGTTTGTTTATTTATTATTTATACCTGTTGTAGTGCTGTGACTTATCGGGATCCGATTTACATGACGCGAATTTGCGAGGCGCGAATTTCAAGGATGCTGCATTCGATTTGATGTTAACGCCATTACATATGTCTCAAACGATACGATAAATGCAATTTAAATTCTGTGATGTAAATATTTATTTCATTCTAGAATGATAATGATTTCAGTGATATCGCCTTCATAGGTGTAGATGGATTTTAATTTTTGTGCTTGTGTGCGTGCTCAGTTATATTAAATTATTATTGCACTATATGGCCTACTACTGTGATCGATGGTCGAATTCATGATTTCTATCTATGATGTCTTTGATTGAAAATTTTTACCCTTAATGTGAATTAAGGATATTGAGGTGAATAAGAATTAATTGTTTAGTTACAATTTGCTTGTCACCGTATTATCTTTTGTATATACATGGCCACGTATTTTGAAAAAAAAAGTACTTTGATAGACTCCTTAATAACATTTAACATTTAATAACATTTTACATAAATACGACGTTATTTATACAAAGATTGTAACATATAATCAATTTTCATACAAGGTAAATCATCACAGAATATCAAATTACGCTAGAATATCACAAACTAGAAGAAAGTTACTTGAATATTTCTTTATTTGTATTTCATATTGTGTGATTAGGATATGAATTTTGTGATCGACGTATGTAAATCGAGCGAATGTACGATAATCATATAAATTATTTATAGTATTTTATCTAAATAAAATACAAAATATTTAATTTTATTCTTTGAATAATGCTATTAAAAAAATGCTATGAAATTTATTGTTTTCACGTTCTGAGCAAATATTATTGAGTAATATATTTACTTACAAGTGTTAGTATAAATTTTGTATAAAATTGTATTTTTTTGAATACATAAAAAGAGTAATATAAATAGCCACAAATGCACTTAATAGATAATTTAAATCAAAACAATAAGGTAGTTTTCTTTACGATTGAATACTACTTTTACGTTAAATTATTAATATTACAGATACATTAAATCGTCATTCTAGCATATAATATATTTAAGGCAATTATTTCGATTGATCTTTAAAAATAAACTAACATTGATATATTTAAGTTAAGTTTCTAGAATAGAATTCTTAGGTAAAGGTCTACTTGTCACATTTGCAGAACAATCAGTATTAGCGACAGGTTCTCCGTTTCAGTAAACGCTTGTAAATGACGTATGCGTGACATTGTATTCGAGACGTCGATTGTTACATTTGCTATGTTACACATTGAACTGGGCAATGCACTTTGTACGGACGTATCTTGACGTAACAATAGGCTTCTAAAGCGTACAATACAGTATATTTTATAGACATTAGATTGTGACTTTCAAATAGAAATATTTCATTCTATAGAATCAAGGACTATAAAGTATTTATAGAAGAACGAATTAAGTATCTTGTAAGTCTCTTTAAAGGAGATGATAAGATTTGGTTATTGAAAATTTCTTCAACCATAGTAAAAGAGAATTTGAAAGAAGATTTACACAAAAACAAGAATTACATATTATTAAGTAAAAACTTTGCTTTATTTCAGTATAGTTTTGATACTTTTTTATAATGTATTTTGTTAAATATTTTCTTAGGAAGATTTCCTAGGAAGACGGGAAAACAAAATATTGTTTCTTGTAATGCAAATTTTTATTTTTTTAATCGATTGTAGCATTAGCTAGCTTATGTATATTAAGAGAAAGAATTCTCTTCTTATTTTTTATAAATATTTTTATACGAATAATTATTAAAAAGTTTCAAGAATAAAATAATTGATACTTGAATTGAGTTAAACTATTTTATTTTTTTTTATAATTTAATTAGGAATGCTTGCCCTGTGATATTAAAAGAGTCTCTCCTCCCTCTCGAATATTTTATTCGATGCAAATTATCCGTTTGATTGAAATTTCCAAATAAAACGCAGATCGATTGAAAATTATCGGTACGAGACTTTCACAATCAAATTAAATGCATGGAAGTCATAACACCCGTGATACGATTTTTAAAAGAAAAATGGCTTATTACAGACTGTAATAGTCTGTAATAAAATCGATGTTCACAGTGACCAACGAACAAGATACTCTACTTTAAAACGAATCATCTATACTTTCTTTTATAAGAGACCTGAATGGTAATGTTCATCTTTACGTTCGAACTTCCCGAACAATTTAACCAACGAAAGTCCAATTATACTATTGACGAGCATGTAGTGTTTTATCATTATTTTTAATTATTCATCAATGTATGCATGCAAAGCTCAATGAGCGAACGCACTCTTCTCGATCTTCTCGCAACATCGTTCGAAAAAAATCACAAAACGATGCCGACGAGCCTCGCGCTCGATTCATTTGGCAATTGGGAATTTTTCTCGCCACGCTATTGGAAAGCGAAAATTGTTTTTATCGTGATCGCATAGAAGAAACTCTCCATGTGTTTTACAATTTTGGACAGCAATCGCAGCCAGCTAAATCCTCGTTGGACGCCCTCGTTTCTTTCGTTACAATACGATCGAGATCACACGAATAAAACACGTGGTTTTCATTCTGCACATGGTCTCTCTTCATAATCATACCACCAGTTACGAACTTGTCGGTTGGAATGCTTTCGCATGCGGTCGTAAATTGATAATCGTCGCGGAGGAAAAGGATGTGCAGGATGTTTCGGTCGAATTGAATTTGCCCGTGTCACGACTGTTTGCTAGTTACACGTCGAGGAGATGGTTGGACCCGCAACTTGCTCGCGATTTGTCCTAATCTCGTTTACCAAAGTCCAGAAACATTCGCCAGGTTGCTACGCAGTTACCTGCCCGCCAGAGTAACGAAATCACTTTAACCAGGCCATCGTTAGATGCCCTTCATCCGCGATTACTTCTCTTCTGATGAGAGTACGATTCGTTGCTCTCCTCTTTTCTGCCCTTCGTCCACGCTCGACGGCCTTTAGACGGCCAATTTGGCTTTGGTGGAAGTTCATTATACAATGTTTATTATAGTTTAGCGTAATAATAACAGCTGGTATTCGAAAGACGAGGCATTCAACTCGGGACTTGCTGAAAGCCAGAACTTCGATAAAACGTGAATCGAGCCCACTTTGAACCTTTGTTCACGAGTATTTTCTACCGTGCATCGTTACAAAGAAATACAGTGAAACC